GAAACCACGCTGAAGAGTGTAGATTTCGAACAAAAAAGAATGCAGAATTTCCACAGTTCCGACTTAAGGGATACAATAAAGGAAGAGACGACAGCTGGGGACCTGGTGTGATTCAAAGTCATGTGAGAATAAGAGCGCCGAACGACAGGAGACGCGAGAAGTGAATACTCACCGGTCGTAGTAAGGTGCAAAGTTCTTTCCGGCCGCATCGGCGACAGCCGCAATGGAAGTGACCGTTTGCAGGAGCACCAGTTTGTGGCCCTTTTCCACCATCTCCTGGAATTTTGCCGTCATTACCTCCTCCAGCTTCTTCACTAGATCATCCAGGTAGCGCACAAGCACCGACTGCAAAGAAGGCAGGGGCAGGACAAAGTCAGCCTTGGCATAATCGAGCGCGTAATGAGGAGAACGACGCGAGTTAAAAAAAGACGCAGTGGAAGGAAAACGCTGGCAAAACTGCAAAACATGCTGAAGAAGTGCAGGCATCGCTGACACGTGACTGACAGTCTTCCTTTTTTACAGGCTGTAAGAGAAAAGTTGGAATCAACAACCAGGGCAGGATGCATACGAAAAAGGCTTCGGCGGTGCAGACTATCACCTTTATTGGCTTTCCTGTAGTTTTTCCTACCCCTCAAGATGAACTGGGCGAAAACACTGTGGGTTAAGCTCAGCGAGCCCAAACGCTGCAGCCCTTAGTGAAACAGCTTTTGCCCGTGTGTGACGTGGGATTGGTGGGAGTTGAGATGTCATGAGCCTTCTTTGGATCCAATTTGGTCAATCAGCCGAATTTCCCGCTCATGCAGCACGATGTTTGAGATCACCTGAGATGCGAACTGTGCTGCGAAAAGTACAGCTGTTGAATGCCACCCCCCCCCATCCCCCAAATCTCCTGTTTGTGAGGAGACTGCTAGGCTGTCCACACATCGTCACTTCAGGTGGTTGACGACCTATCGAGGAACAAGCCCGGGACGGGTATGCCTGCTAACGATGCCTGGGGGATGGGATTAGGCGAGATAGGCGCAGAATCAAAAACGACAAAAGCGCCTACAGGTGGACGAACAAAGCACGCAGTCGGTCGGATATAAATAATACTTTCCCCCTCGTCCCACCACCTTGATGTAAGACCGTCTCTCGTATGGGAATGCTGGTAAGTGGTTGTACAGGTGGGACCTTTTAAAGGAGCGGGCGAGTGTTGAAATTGCATAAAAAGACAGAGAATCATATCTACGCCACGTGTTCTGACGTATTAGGTAACCCTAAAGCCAACTCCGTGCACCATATGAAGCAGCCCATAAAAACTAGCGCGATCTCATACAGAAAACGTTGAATGCCCATTTTTGTGAAAGGACCTGATGAATTATCCGGAAACGAAATGGTCAACGAGCTTTC